GAAGAGGGACGAAGAGAGAGAGAAAGAGAGAGGAAGAGAGCCAGGAAGAAAAGGAGCAAAAGAGGGAAGAAGATAGGAAGGAAGGAAGAAAAGGGAGGAAGGGAAGAAGTGGGAGGAGAGAGGCAGGAAGAAGGGGGCGGAAGAGATGGAGGAAGAACGAAGACGGAGAAAGAGAGGGAGGAAGAGATGGCTGAAGGTAACGCAACGGAATCGCTGAAACGATTAGCCAACACACCTGAAAAGAAGGGGACTCGGCAACGCGTGAACCTCCGCGCGAGCACCTGCCACGTGACCTGTTTACCGACCGACGTCCTCACTCAAACCTTCAATGATCGCCACTCAAGATCCGGTTCGCGGCCGAGACAACGCAAGAACCAGGTACACTCCCTCCCTCCCTCCCTCTCTCCCTCCCTTTCCTGTGCTCGCCCACTCGATTTCTAATCTCCTTTTCCGCCAGGTGAGCACTCCCTCCCTACACTCCCTTCGATTTCACACACGCGCACCTGTTTCCTCCTCCCTCTCCTCCTCCTCCTCCTCCTCCTCCTCCTCCTCCGCTGCAAGTACTCACTTTCAGCGGCGTTGATGACAGAATGAGGACAACGCGGCGGCTATGGCCGAGATGTCCACGACTCGGAAATGACTCCGGGCGTCGATGGCTGGACGAGCGAAACCGGCGATGGATTCGCGAGAGAAGGCCCTGGCAAAGAGTCGTGCGAAGGATGAGGGAGCCTCTTTGGGAGGGAGAGAGACGGGGACAAGAAGCAAGAGAGGGAGGAAGAGAGGGAGGAAGACAGGGAGGAAGACAGGGAGGAAGAGAGGGAGGAAGAGAGGGAGGAAGAGAGGGAGGGAGGAGGAGAGGGAGGGAGGAAGAGAGGGAGGAAGACCGGAAATGGTTGGAGCAAAACGCAGCGGCAACTGCTCTTGTAGCCAGCGGGGGACTGGCAGGAAGAACCACCCTCCAGAAAACGACAAAAATGAGAGAATCGTGTGGTCGATGGAATCACTTTTCTTCTCTCTAGCTATTTCCTAATGTGACCGATAGCATAGATTGATAGAGGAATGGAATAGAGTAATATAGAGTTATCGAGAGAGTAATAGAGTACTATAGACGAATAGACGAAGAGTAAAAAAGAAATAGAAAAACGTGTGGCCCGCAGGCGAGTTGGCAATACTTTCTTTTTTCACAGATGGAGAAAGGAGAGGAACAGTAAGAGAAGACTGAGGGAGAGAGAAAAAAAAAAAAGAGAGACTAAGGGAGGGTGAGGAGAGGGGAAGGATTGGGGGTAAACGAGAGAGGATCAGGAAGGACAGGGGCGAAGAGAAAGAAAGAAAAACAGAGAGAGAGGGAGAGAGAGGGAGAGAAAGAGAGAGGGGGGGGGGGAAGGGAGAACCCCTCCAGTTCAGCCAAGTCAGACGTTCCTTCAGGAGATTATGACACGTGGACGCTCCGGGTGTGAAAACGCATAAAAGCGCGCGCTCTAAAAATAAACAAGAAATTGAAAACGTGAAACACAGGGTAGCGAGAATAAGCCCGCCTCCCTTGATATTGCTGCTGCTGGCCCCGCCGTAAGAACTACGCCCCCCGAGCGCGCGCGCGTGTGCACGCTTGTTGATTGATCGCCTTTCATAGGCTTCCTATCAGAATATTATCAGAACCACGCCGTACCCAGAGCACAACTTTCAAGGATGTATCTGACCGCTTTTGGGTCAGCCTGAATGCACCTGACCTCAATCACGTCTACAGACACGTACGTTGAAAAAGTCGTAGTGTGTGAGTATGCCTCAGAAATACTAATTTCCAGCAGGAGTCATTTAACCCGCGTTCTCTACAGGACGATTTTTTTTTATTATTATTTTTTTTCCCGACGAATATTTTACAGATTCTCCCTATCCTGCGCAGCACCTATCACAAAACTGTGCTTGATGACGGTTTCTTTTCGTTGTTTTTGCCCCTTTTCCTGATCCGAATATCCTATTCTTTCCCCCCCTAAAAGAGTCCTTTTCCGTCTTGAACCCTTCACCCCCCTCTCTTCCCCGCTCAGTTAGGCAAAAGAGACTGACTCATCCAAGTCCGAGCTTTCTAAACGCATCTAGCCGTCAATACACACAGATAATCCTCCTGGTCTGCGCGCATATCCCCTCCTTCCCTCCCTACCCCGCTCGCTCCTCTGATCATTCCTTGATCCGCGAAATGTCACTTTCCTGATCGACCCGAGGAACTCTCAGTGAATCGTCAGTTTCTCTGAGGATGAAAAACTATCGACGCACATAATATATTTATATATATCGTCAAACAGAGCTGCCCGGTGAACCGTAGGCAGAGAGGGAGAAGAGGATATCCCAAAACTTTCTGGGGGAAGTTTTGACAAGGTCTCTTTTCGGCTAAGGACATGCTCGCTGCTCGAACTTTTGCAGAATGTATCCCACCGAAATTACGGCCTGATTCGGTCAAAATATTATACTCTTTATCTATGTTCTAAAACCCCTTCCTACAGGCCGTCGGTCACCCTCCCATGCACAAAAAGAGAATGTATAAAAAAGAGGGAAAGAAAGACTGCTGCCGAGCACAGGACACAGTTCATGAGAGACAGGCGCGGGAGGACGCGGGGGGGAGTAAGAGAGGGGGTTGAGGGGTAGGGGGGGAGGTGGGGAGGGGGGATGGGGGGACAAAAGAGGAAAAGGAGAACCCAGAAGCCACTACAGGAATGTCAGAGCAAGAAGTGAGTAGGCAGAGAGCATTCGCCTTCGCCTTTTGTCGCCACGTGCCCGTTCAACCATTCCCGAAAGCCCAACGCCCTCGTATCCTATTTCGAGTTTCACACCGCGACATTCGCAAATCAATCCCCTCTCTCACCCCGCGCAAGTATTCTCCATCGCCCACTTCTCCATCCCTTACCTGCGCGCCTCTCTTTACCACTCTTCCTCCTCCTCTTCCTCCTCCTCTTCCTCCTCCTCCTCCTTCTCCTCCTCTTCGCTCTGTTTATGCAGCCGGCGATGGCGACGATGAGCAGCCTTTCTACATCACATGCCGCCGATGTTTCTCTCTCTCTTTGTCTGTGAGAGTGTGTGTGATCACGATTGCGCGGAGTGGATGTGTTCGAGTGTGCCTATCCTCCTCCCCGTCTGTGCGCTGAGAACTAACTAACCAGCTAACCAAGAGCCATCCTCGCCTCCCACTCCCATTTTTTTTCCTGCAGCTTTGCAGGTTGTGTGTCTGTGTGTGTGTGTGTGTGTGCGCGCGCGCGTGTACATCTGTGGCGCGTGGGTGCGCGGACAAGCACGCCTGACACCGAGCTTAAACAGCCAAAAACAAGTGTCTTTTTCTCCTTTCGATTTTTCCTTCCTTGGTGATTGCTCTGGTCGTTCTCGGTTTCGGGTTCGAGCCTCTTACCCCGCGCAAAGCCGCTGATGCCGTCTTGATATTTTAGATGACCCTCGCCGTTCTCCAGTCCCCTCCTCCCCGCTCCCCGCTCCCCGCTTTTTTTTCCTCCCACCGGACCCCGCGTCCACCACTGTACTCGTGCCGCTCCTCTGTCGGCGCCCTCAATTCCTTGGCCCGCCCTCGCCCCCCTACCTAATCTTTCTACTACACTACATTCTAAAAACGTGCGCACGCCACTGGGCCCGGTGTTTTCAAAAGAAAAAAAAAAAAAAAAGGCCAAGCGCGCGTCTGTGTGTTTCTGCCCTCCAAGACCTGTCGATGTGGCGGCGGCGCCCTGAGGGCATCGCCACACCACTCTCAAAATGAGAATGTAACTTCCTTGTAGACCAGATGCACCCGCCACATTTTTGAATTTTTCACATTTCGAGAGTGGTGTGGCGAGGCCCTCAAGCCGGCGGATCGCGAATGCTTTTTTTTTTTCGTTTTCTTTTTTCTTTTTTTGGATCGCGAATGTTGATGCAAGGGGCGGCGCAGGAGCGCAGGACCGCGGGAGTTGGTGTTCGCGCGGTATTCCCCTGGATTTCCTGGCAGGGTTCAGTTGTTCACGTTCGCGCGGTATTCCCCTGGTTGGGTTCGCGTTCACTCGGAATTCCCCCTGCTTTCGGCCAACGGCGGCGGCATTCCCCTGATGCGCCGCGCGCCGACGGCAAACCGGCCTAATTTCCCGCCGCTGGTGATGGTTTTCGGGCCAGCTGGGAAGCCACCGAAAACCCGAAACAACAACAACAACAGCAGTAAACAGAGTGGCGGCTCTCGCGCCGCACAGTGATTTGTTTTTTCTTTCGTCTTTTTTGAATGGAATTTTAAAGTTTTGACCAGAAGAGTACACGAGGAGGTATGACGGGAAGACCATCACCAAGAAAAAAGGAACAAAAGCGTAAAAAAAAAAAAAAAAAAAAAAGGTCACAGCACATGGACCTATGGGCGAAAGAAAAGACGGCAAAGGAGAACAGCATGTCGGTGTGTAAGCGGTGGAGGAGACGACAACGGACGGAGAGTGAGAGAGACTTTTTGGGGCAAAAAAAAAAAAGAGAGAGAGAGGGAGAGAGGCAAGGGAGGAAGTCCCGACCGACAGGAGAGTGACGGAAGACACCGCGACAGTCTGGAAAGATTTGTTTATCCGAAATCTGCAAACCCGACTCTCTCTCTCTCTCTCTCTCCGACCACAAACCCGACTCTCTCTCTCTCTCTCCGACCACAACCTACTACTCGACTAAGGAGGCTTTGATCGCATCCGGCCATCTATTCCGATTCAATCAATCAATCAATCAATACCAACGACAATCGGACGGCAATTGCGAGCTTCGATGCGCGCACCCAGCGCGCCCGCTTCCCCTCCCCAACTGCTTCCCTCCTATCTCCTCTCTCCCCTCCTGCCCTCTCTCCCTCCTCCCTCCTCCCCCCTCTCCTAGCTCGCCCTTTGCTCGCTCCAGGGCAAAATCCCGGCACGCTATCCGCGTTCCTGTCTTGTTTCCATAGCGTATCGACAACAACCGTACACGCCTGCACGACGTGGACCTGTGTCCTTATGCGCTCGACCTCCTACACGAGGTCGCCAATTACAGCACCTAAGACAAAAGTATCACTACACGACAAAAGATGGAGAATAGATGTCGAGATCCCACTGGTAAAGGAGAACTGGATTAGTGGCCGAGGGCATACTCACACGAGCACTTTTTCCGCTAAAGCTGTGGACGAGATTACCGTCAGATTCATCCCGGTGTGCCCGAAACTGCGGTCAGATGCAAACAGGAAAGTCCTAGTGTGAGTGCCTTGAGTCTGGATGTGCTTCGATTAGAGATGCAGAAATGCAGACCGAACACGTCCAGATTCAAGCGTTCAATCTACTCCTCCTTGCTAAGTGGTGGGACCTCGGGCCGGGATCGCTGACGTCATCACCACCTTAGTTTTTCTGTCTCCTTTTTCTGGTGCCACATTTATGAAATCGGGAACCGGTCGCGTGCCCCTTCGATTTTCATTTTTTTCCCCAAATTTGTTTTTGGGGAATAAATTTGTTTTGGGGGAATATTGCCCCTTAGAAGTACGAAGGGGACGTGTTTCTTGTTTTTCTTTGGGGATTGGGGGGCGGGGAGAGGAGGGACTAGTATTCGCATTCATCTCTGGGCCTAGGTAGCGCCACGACTCAGCAAAATGCAAAATGAGAATGAATCTTCTCATAGGGCATGGAAAGATGCACCGCCCCATTTAGTTTTTGTCTTTTTGTCTTTTGTGCATGTGGTGAGTAGCGGAGCGAGGCCTTCGGTCACGTATCTGATTATACTTCATAACTAACAGACAGACGATCACATGTGTGCAGCGAACCAGACTTTTTTGGAAAAGGGGAAAGAAATCGTTACTCTTGAGTGTACCATTCAGTCACATGGCATGAGATATCACCGTGGAACTGACCGGCCCCAGGTAATTCGGAAATTCATTCGGCTAGTAACACATGGATTCGAGCTCACTTCACTACGGCTAGCTGCACTACTCCCGAAATGTGCAAAATGAGAAAATGAATCTTCCCCTAGAAGATGCAGTGCCATGTTTTTTGTCTTTTGTGCGTGTGAGGCCCTACATTTCAATAGTGCGTGGGCCTATCAACTGATCTAGGCCTGTTATAGACTCTATTTTTTTTTTCCTTTTTGGGATAATTTGGAAAACACCCCAATGAGTTGCGATATATGCCAAAATGCCCCTTAAAGATGTGGGTAGAGCGGAATGCCCTTTGGGCCTAATTCTTTGTGTTTTGCCCGTGTCAGGCCCATGTGCACAATTGCAATCTGGACCACGTCCTTGTGGCCTGGGCCTGCACCCTGTTTTTTTACCTGGTTTGCCCTCCATACCGGGTGGCCAACTTTGCGCAATACCCAGGCCCGTCGGTGGGGCAGTTTACGTCATGTTAGGCAGCTTCATTCATCCTTCTCCCTGGTGAGGTTCACCATTTCCAGCTCCTCCTATGCCACATCACCATCGCTGAAATCCTCCTGCTTGACTCTCTCTCTCTCTCTCTCTCTCTCTCTCTCTCTCTCTCTCTCTCTCTCTCTCTCTCTCTCCCACTGCCGCTATCCTGCTATCCCGCTATCTCGTTCCCGCTATCCTGCCCCGCTATCCTGTGATGCCCGAACCTCACGCCCGGCACCACTTCCTGATCGAAGTGTGAGCGGGCCTGGATGTGCGAAGAGGGGGTGTGCCAAGGATTTTAGGAAAGTGGGGGTGGAGTCCCAGGTCAGAACTGAGATCTCCTGTGGCAAGCTCCGGGATACGATTGCAAGAGTAGGCGTGGACTGGAGTTCTTGCTTCGGGGGACAGAGCTACCGCCTCCGTTGGTTCCGTCATCCGGGTCGGGGTCGTATCTGGTGCACTATCGGGACGCTATGGATATCCGACTGATTCGTCACCTGCCGACGTCGACCGTCGCATGTTTCCGAATCCGACACAGCTGGCCTCAATCGAAGACTGTGCACCCATCGTTCTTCCTCTGAACGAGTTCGCCGGATGAAGCCAGAGGCTTGGTACTCGTGGTCTTGCAAACACTCTGAGCACGGTGGTTGGGGCCAGTAAGGAGCGATTGTGAGCCAGGGGACGATGCTTA